CAAATGAAGCAGTAAGAGGGTTCTTTGAGTTAAGTTATGAAGAGAAGAAAGCAAGCGTGGGAAGTTACGGTAAAGTCGTAGATAATATGGGGTATGGCGGAAACTTCATTGTAAAGTCCGAAGATCAAATATGGGACTGGGTGGATCGCCTCAGTCTCAGAGCATTTCCTCCTATTGCTCCTCATGAGAATATCCATGTTTGGCCTCTCAAACCATCCAATTTCAGGTCCCTTGACTTCTTCTCCCACAATTTCTCTCATTACCATATCACCATCTGTATATACACATACATAACACTATATATATATATATATATATATATATATTGTGGAATATATTGCAGAGAAGCAGTGGAAGCATATGTGGGAGAGGCGAGAAGAGTGATGGACTCCATACTTGTGAACTTAGCAGAAGCTCTGTCGCTTGAAAACGACGACGTATTCCTCAAGTACTTCCACCCCAAAGAGAGTGAGATCAAACTAAAGCTGAACTACTACCCACCGTGCCCTTCCCCTGACCAAACCCTGGGTCTCATCCCTCACTCCGACCCAAGCGCCCTGACCCTCCTCTCGCAGTTCGGCTCTAGCGATGGCCTGCAAGTGTTCAACCATGAGGACCGAACCTGGCTCACTGCGTCATGGCCACAGGACCAGCTGCTGGTGGTCGTGGGGGACTTGCTTGAGATCATGAGCAACGGGAATTTTCAAAGCTCGTGGCACAGAGTTGTTCCTTTGAGGGACGTGGCACGTGGGTCCATTACTTTGTTCTATAACCCACCACCCAAAACCGTAATTGAGCCAGTGGCTGCTGATGATGATGATCAGGATGATGGCTATAGGAACGTGGTTGTGGAGGACTATACGAAACATTACTACAAGGTTGTTCCTACTGAGGACAAAATGACCACCGACTTCGCTAAGCTCAGTTAATTCAATGTGGCGTATGCGATATCGTTTTGTTTTAAATTATATGCATCCCATGGCGCGGACTACAGCAGAAACTAAATTTGTGTGTCTGTTCTTTATTGTTCTGTAACGTAATGAAAGATGTAATAAAATGTCTATTGTTTTTGTAACGTGATGAAAGATCTCTATTAAGATCTCTTGAGAAACACTGCCGTTGTTCCTGTACACACCTTCCCCACCATACATACCTGCTTCTTCAACTTCTTTCTCCTTCCTTTAATTTGTCACAGGGTCTTGTGAGCCAAACTGGTTCAAATCATCCATGTTGAGCACTATATTGACTCATGTTTAGTAATTAAAGATGGGTTCTAACAAATGAAACAAATAACGACAACTTTCATGTTTTAAGTTCTTTTTTTAAAAAAAAAAATCAAGAAAGAATTGAAGCTAACTATCATGGTTAAAACTGGGTTCAAATGAACGATTGAGTGGTGGACATTGCCATTGATCTGGCGATGTTTGAGATGAAGGATGGCTTAATTCTGAAAAAATACGAGCCTTTGTAAGTTCATTTAGCATCATATATGAAGCCCATTATGTAGTATATAAAACAAGGATTTTGGGGCGCATTTAAGGTTGTAGAGGACTGTGTGAGATATTGCTATAAGGTTAGTCCAGCCATGGGGAAAAAAATTGCTATCAGTTTTGCCAAGGTAAATTAATATGCTGACAGGAAATTTGGTGTGTGTGCAATTCTTACTATAAATATACTGCATCTCTGTGTGTGATATGTCTAGAATGTGGTCAGAGGTAGACGCATTATTAAATGAACTATAGTCTACCATAAGGACGCTTCCATTTCCATTTCCTAGCAAAGACTGATCTATGCTTTTATCGTTTCTCGTATATATGGTTGGAAGTCATTCATGGTATGCGCAAATTAATGGGTTCTCATACACATTCAACTGTAGTGCTTTGGTACTAACAGCTTGTATTAATTTTGATGAAAGGTACATATATAAATGTATACACATTGCTGACAAGTCTTTCTTTTTATATGTTCATATATGTTGTTTATATTTTGTTTGGCCTACCATTATTTTATACTGTCTACTTAAGCACAGCATTGTTCTTGGGTAAATCAACTTCACTGGGGATAAATTGATCTACTCATACTTAAACTGAGTTCCCCTAACAAATATATGAGCTTAAATATGCAGTTATAGTTTAAGAAAATTAATATTTCTGTGTGAGATGAATATGCAGCTCCATAAATAAGGCCCAGCTGGCTCAACCAACGGTTGCTCAGAATTGTAATACCTTTTTCTAAGCCGAGTCAGTATACTATTCTGTGTATGACCGTCGCCTAGGAACAAACACCAAGCTTAATTAGAATCATGTATGCAGAACTAGAAAGCTGTCCTTTTTAAGGTTTCTCTGTGGAATATTAAGCACAGGATTACGGACACCTATGGCTCTTATCTGGACGTTGCTCTCTATTGCTATATTGAGATTTGATATTATCAAGCAAGTACCAATTATATACTGACGTTAAGTGTGAGTGAATTTGAACTTAGAGCGTCAGCTGGTACAAGTGAACCTGGGTTGATACAGTAAAATGTGGCGTCTTCTACTATTCTCACCATTTATACTCTCCCTCAATTTTAGGTTTCCTTCCTAGCTTGTTCCTCAACACTGCCACAAACAACCCTTGTTCATTGACTTGCTGATAAACTTCAATTTTAAACACGGACGTTAAGGATTATGCTTTTCTAAAACTGGATATAGCACAGATATTAAATACAATACCAACCAGAACTAAGCAAAAGCTTATTAATGAAGGAATGTCGCTGGGGAAGCATGTGAAGGCTTTGATACTGTATACTACCTCCGGTCATATTTATAAGATCTCGTTTGTAGTCAGGTCTTCTAAATAGAACCGAAAGTGGTATTTATTAATTCAAACTTTTTAGATTCTCAACAAAGAGAAAATGTGTATGATGCACTTTAAGAGAGATAGAGGAGAGACTAAAGAGAGATAATAATTGCGAAGAAACGTGTAAATAATATATAATCATATTTTCTGCACTGGGTATATTATATATGTGTGTATATATACATGTATAGATGAATAAATGAGGGTGGTTAATGCTGATTTGTCTCATGCTTCGGCTGTTTCTCCTGGCGAGTCCATTGACAGCCAAAAAGCCTGTTGGAGTTTTTACTGCTGACCTGCAGTCTGTTTTGTGGGCTCATTTCTTTGTCCCAGTGTTGTTTTCTTCCTTTTTAATAGATTATTTTATTACTTTATTATATTCTACTTATTACAAACAAAGTGTTATAAATAGCACCGAAGATAGTTTTTTTTTTTGTTATAAATTTATCTTAACAATGTATTATTGATAAATATATTTGACTGGAAAATTCAAAAATATAATTGATAAAGAATATACTTCATATATTGAATTTAGCATTTAGATTGTTTATTTTATATGTTGAATTATACAATTAATCAATATCAATTATCACTGTCTCTTTTTTCTAAGAAATTATCAATTTTAATGTAAATTATGATACTTACGCCTACATTATTGTTCATATAAATATGATTCATCTCAAATTCTGTAATGATTTAATTCAAGGCTTCAAGTTGTTATTAAACTCATGGTAATTTTATGCACCCAAAAATATAATTGGATCGTAATTTTTATTTTAAAAAAATAAAGATATGAATACAATTGCAATTGTTTAATTTTTTAAATGCATACATGTTCTAGGAATATTTAATTGTTGTATTAAAAATTTCAATTCAATAGAAAATAATGAAATACACGATAGAACCGGTATTTCCTTATGTTTTGTTGAATCTTTTTACAATATTTAATATTATAAAATCAATTATACATGTATTTATGGGACAATAGCAAAAAAAAAAAATTTGAAATTTTGAAAATACCAAATAAAAAATACCAATAAAAATTTATTGTTATTTATAAATTCAGATTTGTCAATACTAAATAAAATTATCTTATCAAACTTGATTTTAAATTTGTAATTTTAAATTTCTTTTTTTATTATTCTCCTTATATTTATTGGTTTTGTATTAAAAATATTACGGTATTGCCCGCTTCTTTTTGTCTGTTTCGTCCGTACATGCTCCTTCTTTTGATTAGACCTTTCACTCGTCGTTCGTCAAATCATATCTTTTACTTCCCCCATTCTCACCCTTACACCTGGATGGCTCCGATTCTTTCCCTCCAAAACGCCTTTCCTTCCATCCACCCCATTTCGTATTCCTGACGTGGCATTCCCTCATCACCCCCCCACGTCACGCTCCTACCCCCGATCTCTGGTATCGGGAGAGGAGAGGCACCACACGGCCGTCGTTTGCTCCCCAGGGATTTTACACTTTTATCCTTCCACCTGGAGCTTCCTTTAGCCCAACAAACTAACAAAGTCCTCACCCTAGTGTCTATTTCTGGTAATGCGTACAATAAACTAATAAAGTCACCCACGAGCCACGAAAGACAAAGTGCCAGCTTTTTATTTGCCGAGATTTTATTTACATTGGCCACTTACAGCACTCCTTGTCGGACACGTGGCTCTTCCCCACTGGTCCATTCGGTTGCGTACTTTTTCAGAACATCTCAAATGTTTTTACTGAATAATTATAAAATTTTGTTTATAAACTATAAATAAAATCTTATAATTAAAACACGTAGTATAAAACACAACTAAAGAGCCTTTCAAGTTTCAGCATTAAATCCTACTACTACTATTATTATTATGGGTTAATATAATTTTTTATTTTTTAAATTTGTTTTTATTTTACTTTTAATCTTTCAAATTTTAAATTATGAGTTTTGGTTCTTTTATGTTTTTATTAAATTATAAGACAAATATTTTAAATAAAAAAATATTTAGAATTTAAAAAATCAAAATCAAAATGATAAAAATTTTAAAAAATAAAAAATTATATTAATCATATTATTATTATGAGTTAATATAATTTTTGATTCACCGTATTTATAGAAATTCCCTGCAATTTTTTGGCCGGGTAATTGTAACATGGTTGAAAAAGTAAACGACAATATGTCACCAAGAAAAAAGATAATAATTAATTAATGTATTAACTAAATGTCACAAATAATCAAGATTACCTTAACTCCATCCGAATCGAGGCCCCTCAAAACCATCACCGTTGATTCTAACAGAAAGAGGACATTGACAGAAATAAAAACTATAAGTAACCTCTTTCTCTTGCTGACAAAAGATATTAAAAGGAAAGGACAACTAAAAAACAGAGGCGAATTCATATGGTGATGATGAATAATGAGGATACTGCAGAGGAGGTCTATTCCCCGGCAGGATCAGGGGATCGCGCCCGCCTGTTGAGCGGCTCGGCTTCGCTGGTTGACGCTGGGTTCTCCGAGCGAGTTTCGCAGCTGCCGCATGAACTAACAGCGTCGAGCACTCCTACTGGACTCGAAGGCCGCTCCGGCTCGGCTCCGGGGCATTTATAGCCAGCATAGGGACACGTGTCCACCACGTAATCCTCCATTAGTTGGTGACAGCTTCTCACCATTTCCTGTCCCCGAAGAAGAAAGTTTCTTTCAATAAATAAAGACACCAAATTTTGTCACCCACACACGCACACTCCTTTCCATGCTTCTCACTTTCTTCCATTTTCTTTTCTTTTCGGGAACCCAAAAAATACTCAGCCCTTAATCTGCGTTATACACAATGCAGCTGGAATCATTTGACGTTATAATGCAAAAGTCATTTTCAAGGTCACAAACACGTTTAGTAATTACGTTCCCCGTTCTGATCCAATAATTTACCTATTCGAATTATTAAAGACGTAAGATTTATTATAGCACAGAAATAACCTGTGAAAGGGTAAAACAAGATTATGAATAATTTATATTCACGACTAAGGAGTATGCGGGTACTTTGTTTACTCCATCATGGAAGAACGGCGGCGATTGGCCCTGGCCAGCTGAACAGAGAACCGCAGCGGCCGCTATGGCCGACGGCGCAAAACCCAAGAAATCAATAACTGTAATGTTATTCACAGAGATCGGAGTAGTGAGTTAGATAAATCACAAATAACAGGGATCCATTGAGAAAACCGTTAAGTGGAGTCAGGTATATGTGGTACCGAGGGCGGTGCTGAGGATGAGATTGGAAGCAGCGGAGAAGAGCCGGGCTATGGAATCGGGTTGCGGGTCGCAAGAGAGCTTAGAGATGAAGTAATGGAGATAATCGAAGGGTGTTATGGAGCGTAATCTCCAGCTTAGCTTGGTCATGACACACAGCTCCATTCTTTGAATCGTTTTGGGTTCGAATACAAATCTGGGATCCACTAATTGAAGGTCCAGTAACAGAGGCACTTCAGGTTCCTCCATTTTCGCCGCTAAAGACAAGCATGCCACTGATAGCAGATGATACTCCCACTGACTTTGTCGCTGCGAATAACAAGAAATCACGTCAGATATTTCCCCGGGAAATCTGATATTTTCTGGAAGAACCTCGATTTTCTTCGCATGGGAGGTACCGGAAGTGGAGAGCAAGACAGAAAACGATCGAGGTAGTTGACTGAGAGGAACGCCGTTACCGGACGAAACTCGTAGTGTGCGCGAACCTGCATTTTCCACAGATCGACAGACAAATCAAATCAGAAAATCCAACAAACAACTGTTCAAATACGTTATGTAACTGGCGCGTCAGGCGCGTTGATGCGGACCTTCAAGATCCAGTTGATGGAGTCTTGGCGAGCGGTTACGTCGATTAAACGAAAACGGCACCGCCGCAGGTAATCTGGGTCGGGCATGTGCTGTGCCTCGACGTCGATGAGTCCGCCGATGGTTGCGTCGTCTGAAGGAGGTGAATACGGCTGCAAGTACGGCGGCGACGTCCTTTGGTTTTCACCGTAGACAACTTCATCGGCAACCTCACCGCACAGCAAGTCACCGGCGGCCGGCGAGCAAGACATTGTGTAGGTGGATGGTGAAAGAGTACGAAAGTCCGGTCACAACTCCCAACAGCAATGATGGCGCTGCGTTTGGTTTGGTCATGGCTGGGAATCAAGAGCCTGGGCTTGACATTGTTTAAAAGCTGGATAGAAGATTTTTGTACGGCGTTCTTCGTTTGTCTGTTTTGCTTCTGCGGGTGAGTTACAGAGCTTGAGAAATGAGGAGGGAGGAGTCGGGAAGCAGGGACGAGACAGGGGAAAAGAGAGAAGCGAAAGTGGGAGGCTAAAGGGGAGCAAGCGTATTAATGCTAATGAGATGTGAGGTGGTGATTTCTCCGTCGCTATTTGATGGATTATTTCTCATACTTTCATATTTTTATTATGGGACATATTTCTTTTTGCCAATAAATTGTAATGGGACAATTACGTCAAACGACGAGAGAAGTACCATATGCTAAAAGGTCTTTAAAATTATAAGTATTCTGAAAAGTTAAAGGCCAAATTCTAAATTGTAAAATATTCTTTTTGCCGATAGAGTGTAAAATATTTTATAAAAAAACAATATCATGTTGATAAAAAAATTGTTAAAATTAATTATGGACGATAAATATGTAAAAATTGTTATTTTTTCTCACAAAAATTTTTATTAATAAGAAGAGAAAAAAGTATAGGACAGAGTTAAAAAAAAATACCCATCCGGTTCTTAATATATGACCTAATTATTGAGTTGATTTTGGTCCTAAATATAATACCTACCTCTCATATTTATCAATTTTCTCTAAATTACCTTTATGGATATTTTCTCAACTATAATTAAGTAGAAGAAGAAGAGGTATTAAGAAAGATGATTATAGTATTTTATGAAAAACGTGTCATTTTTCTTATAATTAACTAATTTACCTAGCTTTCTCGATGTAATCAAATTAGTTAAATAGGTCTTATATTAAGGATCGGAAGTGTATTAAAGTAAAAAGAATTGTGTGAGAGAACAAAAATGTGGCGGTTGAAGAGTGTGCATAAATCAGGAAAGAAATAATGCAGAATGAGCGAGTCAAGATAGGAAATTAACAAGAAAAATTGAGACATCATCTAAGTATACTTTTATAAACAAAAACAGGTTGTGGTGGGTCTTTCTTGTAAGAATAAACAGAGGGATTAGATTGTAAGCGTGGCAAGACAAAAATTGCAAGGTATAATTGGATGATTTCGAAGTATGACTAGTGAGGACAATTCTTTTGTTATTATCGTACTTTCGTGTTAAATCATGCTCCTTGTTTTCAATTGTTTCTATTGTACATAGTTAACTTGTGAATTATTGCTTCAAATCATTATTTAACAATGGCGAGATGTATGCAATAGTCCTTGTATAGTTCTCATTAACTGTTCACATGGAGCATGCTGCTTTTGTCTCACTAATAATTGTATGAGGACTAAAAGATCAATTGCTTCTATTCTACATCATGAATCCTGTTAATTATTACTAATTTTGGTTCTTACATGCAATTCTCTCCCGTTATATACTAAGTTTTACATTTAAGAACAGCATTTTATTTTTATTTCAACTGGGTTTTAAAACGGAAACATGTAATTATGTATTGTCGGTTCTAATTACAAAACTTCATTTATAGCCAACAAAATTTTGCAATCAGTACTCTAACAAAAGTGATGTTTTCATGAAAAGTCAGAGATTTCTTGATTCCCCTTGTCTGTGTGTCGAGTGTTTTTTTCGCGATTTTAAGTAACCCAACCGAAGAATTTGTGCCCCCATTATTTATGAATTTACAATAAACAGAATAAATACATGAAAATCATGTGTTTTTTGGAACTTTTCTTGTTTGTTTGGCCAACTGTATTTGTTGAAACTTGAAAATTTATAAATTCTTTCTTTTTAATTGACAAAAACACTGCTTTAAAAACTGGAAAAGTGATCAGAATAACAACCTGAGAGGCTATATGTTCGTTTTACGGGTTGGTCAATTGATAGATAATCATAAATGTAGAGTCTTGCCTTAGGTGAACATCTCTGTAAATATTGAAAGAAATACTATATATCGAAGCCCTTTTCTTTTGTTTTTTTTTTTAAGATTCCCATGAGAAAAATTATCCTTAAGAATAAAATCAGGTTAACATGATTTTTTATTTTTCAAGTTTATTTTTATTTTAGTTTTGATTTTTTAAATTTTAAATCATAAGTTTTAATTCTTTTAAAGGTAAAATAATTCAATTTTTTATTAAATTATACGAAGCAATACTTTAAATGAAAATAAATTTGAAGGACTAAATCCTATGATTTTAAACCTGAAAAACTAAAATCAAAATAAAAATAAACTTGAAAGACTAAAAATTATACTAACCCGTGAAACAACACACAAAGTATGAAAAAAAAAATCTTCAGATCAGAGAAAAACAACAGAAACAAACACTAGCCAACTTCTTCACACAAGACTTTATGATTAGCATCCCTATTTGAGATTCTAAAGAAGAAGGTATTCGGCATAGAATCCAATCAGAAGGACACATTTCTTTAAAAGAGCATTCATAAGCCAGTTAGTAATCAAGTTGACTTTTCTAAGAATCTAAATAATATTAAATAATATAATAGCCCACCAATAAAAGTTGGTCTAACGGAAATAGCTAGTCCCTCACAACATGACAAACCAAAGTTCAAATCCCCACTGAAAAAAGTGTTCACATTTAGTGCCAAATAATGTCTCAAATCGGATTATCTTTAATAGAAAGATAACTATACTTTAATAAATAAATAATATAATGGTCCCGATCAGTTTCCTTTTAATAAGAAACTATCGAATAGCTATGACATTCTTGTTTACACAAGACACAGGTTCTTTACTATCAGATTCATATACCACATTTTCCAAATCTTCGTAAGAGACTCTAACCACAAAACTAATAGCTTGTCTGGTAAAAACCGCTTTCGCAATGATTATAAATTTTATATAATCACCAGAATTTCATACAAGTATCTGTAAATAAAATAATCATCATCAATTAATTTCATATCTAAAATTTAGAAAGCCAGCTGGAGTGCATTATAATTAATGTTCCTCGATTTTCTGGTTCCTTTTTCTCCCCAACTTTTAGCCCAACCCTCCGTATGCTGGACTGATTAATGCCAAATCATCGTGAAGCCGCACATGTGATAATAAATTTTGAAATAAAACAAGTATACTATAGGAGTAATAACAAATTGTTAAATTGTTAAAAAAAAAAATCCTAGAAACGTTTTTCTTTTTGGTCAAATCTAAATAATGTCTGTTAATGACTATGATTAAAAGTAGATGTCACGCGGACAATGACATAATTTGAAGGGTAATAATTGTGAAGCAGAGAAACGTTTTAGCCAAACCAGTCAGACACAGAGGAGCAAGTCAATGTGTGCGTCTCATTTTGGAAGAATTAGAACCTGTCCTTATTTTATTTAATTTTATTCCTGCATTTTTTTCTTCAATGCTAATATGAAAAACTCTTCTCCACCGTTTTGAAAACAATAAATGAGATTTTTTTTGGCTTATTTTAGCCTACGAAATTTTCAGTGATACTATATTTATGCATTTCAACTAAAAAGTTACGTTAATCATGTGAAGCAAAATTTCATCGAGTTTGTTGCTCTAGAGATTGTAAAGAAGCCAATCCATTGCGAAAGGATAACATTGTTCACGAAAGAGCGAGAAAACTGTCATCAGTTCTTGCGAGGGATCAAATCACGATCGAAGCCTTCATCTTCCTCCAATCGAGCATAGGTTTCTCTCCTTGAGTCCGTAAAACCAGAGAATAGCCATAGCTATATCCACCTAATATTTTTGATCTTCCTCTTCTCAAACAACACAGGATGACAGATCACAACCAGCACCAGCAGCAACCCGTTGGAGTTCCACCACCGCAAGGTCCTCATCCTTCACTTTCTCTTCGTGCATTTGATCATCGTCTTTATAGGCTCGTGGTTATCGACGACGATGTCAACATTATAGGAATTTATAATCTCGTTGTGATTTTGAATTGTCTGAATCTGCAGGGTATCCACCGCCGGAGACAGTTTCGAAGGACAGTTATCCTCAGCCGGGGCACTCATCGCCTGGATATCCACCGCCAGGATATCCGCCGCAGGGATATCCGCCGCAGGGGTATCCGCCTCAGGGATATCCGCCCCAAGGATATCCTCCCCCGCCGTATCCTGCCGGCCAAGGATATCCACCGCCGTACTATGGACCCCAATACGCTCAACAACCCCCGCCACCGAAAAAAGATTCCGCCGACGATTGCTTGACAGGATGGTAAGTCCTTCTTCTTCTTGTCTTCTCTGTGTTCTTTGTGATTCAGTGCGATCCGGTCACCACCGGTGATTCCTCTGTGTCGCGCGGGGCGGCAGGGTTCCCGCGTTGTTAGGCGCGGTATTCGTGTTTTCTTGGCTGCATTTTGCTGCGAACCTTTTGCTTTCCCCTCTCTCTCGGTTGATTAGGGACGGTGATTTCGTCATTTTTCAGTTCCATAATTTATTTTTTCGACATGGTTTTCTCAAAGTCGTACTCCTTTCTATTTATTCTTTGATTTTGATTTCATTTTACATATATGCAGAATCTTAAAGTTTTAAAATAATTTAAATCTTCCCACAAACAATGCTAATTTCTTAAAAACATTTATGATGATTAAGCATTGCTATTTATTATTTTTGAAGTTAAGGAGGCTTTTGGTGTCATTATTCATTGGGCTTTAAGGGAGAAAAGTAGACCGAGATTTTATAAATTTAGATTTAAGAACCCAATTAGAATAATTTATAAGCAGTTTTTTAATTATAATTTACGAAATATGACATAAGTATATGAAATAAATTTTATCTCGATATATGTAAAATATCTTTATAAGTGATTTTAAAAGTGATAACAAACATGGCTTAAATTCAATCTTCCAACTAGCTTTTAGAGTATTAACTATTAAGGAGGTGTTTGGCAATCTCCAAACCATGGTTTCAGAAACACTTTTCCGTAAAACGAGGCAAATTTCTTCACATATTTACTTCGCAAACCGTAAAAGCACTTCTGAAACCATGATTTGATTTTTATCCAAACACCCCCTAAATATTACTATCTCCGGTCCTCATTATAAAACCTAATTTGTATCTTATTTGTAAAGACTGTAAATGATGTCTTATAATTAAAACCGAAGATAGTACTATAAAATATTTCACAATTAGGCTTTCTTTACTCCACTTCTGTTAACAAACATGCTTCTATAATTAAAGTTACTTTTCAATCCGCCGACTATTTGATGTACCATGATTATATTTGCAATTTTGGTGCAGTTGTGCTGCTCTATGCTGTTGCTGTATGCTGGATGCGTGCTTCTAAGAAGTCACCAATTACGTTATGCAAATTATGGATTCCGTCAAGTGCGTTCGTTCAACGCACAAAATATTTTTCTTGTTTTTCTAATATTGTTTAATTGTTTGATTATTATTTCTTTTTGCTCCAATTTTTTTTAATTATTATGAATAGATGACCTATTGGCATTGCTATTAAAAGGCCCACTGCCCTGCAGGTTCGGTGTTCTGTTAGGTCCCAAGTTAGCTTCCAACCCTGCTGAACGACTTTAATCATTGTTCCTCAACCAAACTAGGATAGCTTTCCTGTATTTACGTACAATTCAAAATAAACCATATTACTACTTAAAAAAAAAAAAGTAAAGCTTACATTTTTCATATATTGTATTGATGGAGTCTTAATTGTAGGTTACTACCTAAAATTTTTTATTTTTTTAAAACTATCTTTTTTTTTGGGGCCAGGGTAAAGCCATCTTACTGTTGTCACATAATCTATAATGACATCGATCATCATTATATAATACTCCTCCGATTATTAATATAAGACCTGTTTAACTCATTTAATTAGATTAAAAAAGTTAGTTAATTATAAAAAAATAACATATTTTTCTAAAATAGTGTAATCATCTTTTTTAATGTCGTTCCTCCCTCTTCTACTTGATTATAGTTGAGGGAGTATCCATAATGATAATTTAAAACAAACTGATAAATATGAAAAAATAGGTATTATCTTTATGATCAATATCAACTCAATAATTAGATCATCTATTAAAGAACATAAGAGTATATAATAAAAGATTTATCAGAAGCTGCTAAACTAAATTACTCACATGGGAAAATTTATTTGTAAGTGTAATTGAAGGGACCATTTTTCTGTTATAGGTTCTGCGCGGTTTTTAACCAAACTAGATCTAGCATGTTCCCTCGTAAATGTGTAATCATTGCTGTGCAATGATGGCCAAAAAAAGAAAAAATTGCTACGCAATTACTTCAATTAAAAATGAACAATGCATCACTTTGTTTTGGTATCGTTTTATTATTTGGAAAGTCTCTAGCATGTCATAAATAATTTTTTTAATTACCCGGGCATTGAAAAAATTTAAGATTTTTTTAAATATGTATAAAATAAACAGTTAAAAGAGAATAAATTATTTTGTAATGGAGTCACAGTTAAAATAAACAAGCAATACCCTATGCAATTGCATAGAACTACACTTCTTTAGGCGAAAGGAGATGGTAATAGTTAATTATCATAGGTAATTTGTATAAGCACAGGTGTAACAAACAAATCAGACAAGTGAAGTTCTTTGAGTCCAGAAGGCACCTCTTGCAACTATGTTTGTTCTGATGGGAGCTCTAGCCTTCAAATCTGCGCACACTTCATTAGAATTACAATAGTTATTAATCATTATATTTTAAGTTACCAACGACGATTCTTTCAGAGTCAATATTAGAATTAATTGTATATTAGCTGTCAAGTGTATTAGCTTAGCTGTCAATATTAGAGTTAGTTATAACCATCAGTTTCAAAATAGAAAAGCCACGTGTATGTCTTACTAGCTTTAACTGGATGATCCTATTTGGTCAAATATCTAGCGACAAACTCCTATATTCCTTTCATTACTGGCTGTATATACTGTAAGCTTGTAGTTCAATAAGATTGATTCATTTACTTTTACTTCAGATTCTTCATAATCAATGCATATTTAAAGAAAATAAGAGTAATTTGGTAATTAAATAAATAAAATCTGTTACAATAAGATCTCTTAGAATTTCAAAATAATTTAATAATTTGAAAAAATCTTTTTATATTTAATTGTTTTGGGTGAGATCTTATTATAACTTTCCTAATGAATTAAGCATTATACGACTTAAAATTCAATGGGCAGCCGATAAGTTTTAGTTACTGGGCGTTTCGTTCTACTGTGAAAGAAAACTTCGGGCAGTCCACGACTAGAGATAGCCCCACATCGGGGAGTCAGCCTCACAGCAGAGCAAGAGCAGCTATAAAAGCCGAAGAGGCCTGTCGTCAAAAGCATACCTTTCTCGGCCTTTTGGCTAAGATCAAGTGTAGTATCTGTTCTTATCAGTTTAATATCTGATACGTGGGCCATCGGCCCACATGATATTAAATTAATTTTTTTAGGGGGAGGGTCCATCACAATAGCTTGCTATTGGGGTCCTCACGTGTCGCTCATGCGTTGCACTACTGCGCGGGCCTGGCGCACCCCACCAAATCATCGTTGAAAGGAATTGTCATGAAACCGGTTCATGTGAATTGGTTTTAAAAGTTAATTAGGTTCTTTATTTTCATTCTCGCGATGTTGGTTCCCAACGATAATTTTACGGTGGCATGACATGCGGTGATTCAATTGAAAAGATTCAAATATTAAAATTATAAGTTTTTTTAATTATAAGATTGTTTATAATTGCTAGACATGTTTCCCCCCGCAAAAGTTTGAGGTAATTAATAATTCAATCGATGTAAGTGTCATCGCTAATAAATAACAATAGTATTACTGTCAATAATTTATGAACAAGATCACAAAAAAAAAAGAACAGTGCTGTTTGAATATTTAATAAAAATATGCTTTAAGATAAATATGTTTACCTTAGATATTGTTGGCCTGGCCTCAATGATTGCATTTATACCCAAAAATTCAACTACTTTAAACGATAAGCCAGTGTTACGATTTTCGTTACTGTGCTTATTCACGATTCAACTTAAGTTATGCCACCTCTCGTTCCCGTTCCAAATATAAAATTACTCCGACAGCATCTAGGGTTCCTCGAACAATGTGATATCTCACGCCGGGTAAATCCTTAACCCTTCCCCCTCTTATTAAGACTACAGAATGTTCTTGTAAATTATAGCCAATACCAGGTATATAAGCAGTGATTTCAAATCCAGAGGTTAAGCGTACTCTAGCAACTTTACGTAAGGCAGAGTTTGGTTTTTTGGGGGTGATAGTGGAAAAGTTGACAGATAAGTCACGCTTACTGCCACTCTACAGAACCGTACATAAGATTTTCACCTCATACGGCTCCTCGTTCAATTCTTTCGAAGTCATTGGATCCTTTTCCTCGTTCGAGAATCTCCCCCCCTCTTCCACTCCGTCTCGAAGAGTAACTAGGACCAATTCAATCACGTTTTCATGTTCCAAAGTTAGGTTTAAATCTGACGAGAATAATATTCTACAACTAGCAATTCATTTATTTTCAAACCAACCCATTTACTATCTATTATTTGATTGACTAATCCTTTATATTGGAATGGGTGAAGAGTCAAATGTTTTGGCAATTCCTCACGGGGGGATGAATCAAGATAATTTTGAATCAGAGTTCTAGACTTTTGTTCATCCCTCGCTGTAATAATATCTTGGGGTTTGCAGCGATAACTTGGTATATCTACTATATGACCATTAACTAAAACATGTCTATGGTTAACTAATTGGCGAGCTTGAGGAATAGTCGAAGCCATACCCAATCGGAAAAGTATGTTATCCAAACGCATTTCGAGTAATTGTAGTAAAACCTGACTGGTTGACCCTTTCGCTTTTCTGGCAATACCAACGTATTTAAGCAATTGTCGTTCTGTAAGACCATAATGAAAACGCAACTGAATGCTACATGAAGAACATAAGCCAGATGAAGGAACGGGAAGACCTAGGATGTAGAAGATCATAACATGAGTGATTCGGCAGATTTTGATTCCTATATATCCACTCATGCGGTACTTCATTGTACGATATATATAAGATCCATCTGTATAGATATCATCATCTACATCCAGAAAGCCGTATGCTTTGGAAGAAGCTTGTACAGTTTGGAAAGGGGTTTTGATTGATCAAACTAATTTGAATATATTAAAAAATAAATTAAATTAGTTATTTTTAATAAATAAGTATTGTCTTTCTTCAAATATCCTTACTAATCAAGTTTATTGGCTAGAATTATTATTATTAAAAAGACTAGCTTAGGAAAAAATAATAAATATAAGAGTTTTATATTTAGGATCAAAGTAAAAGTAAAATAAAATCTTATATTAAGTAACGGAGGAAGAAGTATACTCTTATACTACAAGGAGTCAAAAGAATAAACCATGCTATTTATAAGTATGATAATTATTTTAACTACTCCTTCCAATTCTAAATATAAGACTTGTTTTGTGGTGTAATTTATAAATTATAAATGAGATCTTATAATTAGCATATGAGTTAGTACTACTCCGATTCTAATTATAAGAGTCAGTTGACTAATTTGAGGAGATTAAGAAAATAAGTTAACTTAGTTATTTGAAATAAATAGATATTATTTTTCCTAAAATATCTTTACTAATTAAGTTTATTGATTAGAACTATCATTATTAGAGGAATTACCTTGGGAAAAAACACATAAATATAAGAGATAAAATGGATTGGGATCTTATAATTAGGATCAAAATAAAAATCAAATGAGGTATTATATTAAGGATCGAACGTATAATTAATCCGACTCAGGTCAATTAGTAATTAATAATTAAAATAATGAAGTAATAACAGGGGAAAACCGCATTGAAGCTATCTCTGTCATTTCCCCCCTTCCGGTATCCTGCAGCTTGAATCTTGTCGTCTGCCAACTTTTCCAGATCGCAAACAGTGTTGCCGGAATACGCTTCCTTCTCATCCGTAACATAGTCATTGGTCGAATTGCTTTTTGAACTTTTCTTCTCGTTTCGACTTGTGAAAGCAATTCTGAGCAGAAACCAGCCGCGATTTCGACTTTAACCTTCTGGTAACCTTCTTCGTACTACTTAATTATATATTATTGTATTGATAATACTTCTTATGGTTAATGATTCTGTATCATGGTTTTGACTTAGTTTGTGGGCCTTAATCTTTCTTTTCTTTACTTTGGTTGGATAATTTGCTCTTTCTTTTAGTTTTGGGGAAAATGGAGCCGAGAATTATGTTTAACAGCAAATACGTGGTGCGAAGATGTTTTTTCCACTAGTACGCTGGATTTCTGTTCTATGAAGAATGAATAGAATTTGTATGTATGAAGAATGAATGGAATTTGTATGCATGACTTTTTCGGCCAATTGATGATGCTTCATTAAAAAATCTACACACAGTTCAACTTGAACACAATAGAAAGTAACAAGCTTAAAATACAATGCAGAAGGAAATTAAAACAATAACCAAGTGAAACACAAAATACTTGAATGCCTATTTGAATTTGACTGTTCCGGAAGACTGCTATTTTGCCTAGTAGCATAATTTTTGAGCAGAATTTGGTCGAGGAACATAGCGATTGCCATATTTCCTTTCTAAGAATCATACGTACATATGTGCGTGTGTGCCTATACATGTATGTATATGCATATGGTTCTATGTCTCTGTATGTATAATGATATAGCATAATAGTGCTCGTGAGACTTGGTGTGAAGTTTTCCCTCTCACTCGATCTAATTTTTATGGGCTGATGTAAGTGACTATCATATGGGAGACGATGTAAAATTGTATTGTTCTTGCTCAGCAAACTCCTTACCGTGTAGACTTGTCCACTGATATGTTTTTTTTTTTTTAAAAACAAAAAAGATGCTTGTCGGCCTCAATGCTTGGTCCTTTTCATTTGGTTATGTGAATATTTTCCTCTTATTCTTGTTTATGAGATATGATGGTAAAACTCTGACCTTTGTGTTTTGACTAAAATTGAGTCCTTAATGTATTTTGTTTGGTGATAACATGTTTTCTTTAACAGAATGGCTGAGAATATGAACAGTGAGTCCTTGTTGGCTCAGATCCAACAACTGGAACATGGTATGCACAATTTATTAAATTCTGAGTTAATTTGACGTTTTTACAATGTACTGTAGGCTTTATGATGACAACGTGACCGATGTTGACTTATATGACTATTCACTGTTCAAAAAATGCCTAGTGTGTTCATATTTTATTTTGTTGAGAAATCCAAGTTGAGAGACAAGTTAAATGATTTTTAGCCTTCTTCTTTGGCCAGAGATTGAGCAAGTGCTAATATGTGTAGGTGCAGTACGTCAAGCCTCTATTGTTTTTTACTGGAAAATTATTCAATACATCAGCATATTTTGATGCTTAAGACCGTCTAAATTGAAATGGACTAGCAACATCTGAATCCGTTCTGTATTAAAATAAAATCAAATAGGTTTTATGATAAGTTGGCTTTTTATGAGCAGAGTTGCAGTTGGAAGCTTTGTGGTGGCAAAGGCTTTGACTTGTTGAATAGATTCTAACCTTAATGTGTATTGGAAATATAGACACTTAACAGAGAGTATAACTGCTGTTTGTTAGTTTAACTATAGCATCATTATGATGTTTCAATTGCTGTCATAAGCAACTGCTCATGATCTGATATTGTTAACCAGCAAAATGTTGCGTGTTATCATGCTGTCCCCCCCTCATTTATTATCATTTAGCTGTAAATGATTAATCTGGAAGTCTTTCTACATATGTATATATCGTAACATACCAACATGCCCTCGCTGATACTACATGCTTTTACTTTGACTGCTTATTTATTTGGCATGATAATCATGTCTTATACAAATTTAATACAAATTTAACTTACCTACTGTACAATATTGTAGAGCGTGATGAATTACGCAAAGATATTGAGCAATTATGCATGCAGCAAGCTGGGCCTGGCTATCTTGCTGTGGTTACTCGAATGCATTTTCAAAGGTACATGCTTTTACTTTGTTCTTAGGAAAATTATTCACATTTTGTTCCAGTAATGTTCTCCTATCGATGATTGGGATTAGCTGGAGGGTTGGTGTAATTGAAATAATAATAAACATAAATTTTGTTAAATTTCATATCTACTTAGGACAGCTGGACTGGAGCAAGAGATTGAGAGCTTGAAAAAGAAATTGGCTACGTGCACAAGAGATAATTTAAATCTACAAGAGGAGCTTTCAGAGGCTTACAGAATCAAAGTGAGTTATTTATTTTGTCTTATCCGTTGCTTAAATGATTCATTTGATGTGGTTTACATGGTTTCTTTGCTGTGTTCAGAGTCAACTAGCAGATCTACACAGTGCTGAGGTTGCGAAGGTCTCTTTCTTTCTACTGTCTTCATAATACTCTATATATGTTATGTACTCTGACACAGTTTTTGAATGGAAAACAAACTTGTGCATTTCTTTGCTATGGATTGTCATTATAAATAAAGTAGATCGCCTTTGTGACATGGCATGGAAACCTTGTCTCAAATTTTATTTGTATAACGTACCATAATTTAAATACTGTAAGCTTTTGGATTGTTTACTGTGAAATTTTTATATATGAAGTTTTGGGTAGAGATACTTTTGCCATGGGTTAAATAGGTGGTCTGCAATGGTCACATTGCACTGCATTTTTCCACTACCTCAGTGTAACCATAACCTTAATTAAAAGCCATGAGTTTTGCACTTGACTTGTGGCAGAAGATGATGAAATGAGTTCCCTTCTTTATACGCTTGCTAGTTATCAGAGTCTAAGAACAAGAATGTGAACTGAACTGCTAAGAAATTGACTTCAAAATTTGTCAGGTAGATGAGTGGCTCTTCTGTGATGTGAGGTTCATGGTTTTAGATCTCACAAGAATAATGATGTGTCATATTTATCTGTGTAGGGTGGGATCTAATGCGGTATCATATTGATCTATATTAGTTTAAAAAGTAAATATACATTATGACGTGCGAATGTGAGAAGTTGCGTTGCTGCTACTTTTTATTATTCTCAAATTGTAACAAATTAACCGTATTAAAAATTAAAAATTAAATTGATTATTAAAAAATATATGAAATTCATTATTATTTAGTTTTTTTTAATTCAATAAGATATATTTAAAAATAAAAGGATAGAATGACATGAACTAAATGAGAAGGTCAGTGTTTGAGAATAATATTCTGCCATTTAAGGCAATACATTGCAACACAGCACACTGATATATAGAAACTCCTAACTACATACAATAGTAAAATAAAATACTACTCTAGACATCGCACATGTCATGAATATTCTCTTACAACATCTCACAAGATTGCTAGTAATAGTGCAAAGCAGATGAAGTTTTGGTGACTTGCTGACATACTTGAAAATTCCTTTGTCCAGAATATGGAAGCTGAGAAGCAGGTTAAATTTTTCCATGGTTGTGTAGCTGCCGCTTTTGCTGAAAGGGATCATGCAATAATGGAGGTTACAATTGTTATTGTTTTTCAATAGAGAATGATGTTCCGTTCTTTTGGTGCATTATATGGTGTAATACCTAATGTGGTGAGTATAAATGGCCGCTGACAGGCTGAAAAGGCCAAGGAAAAGGAGGAGTCAATGTCACAGCTAATGAATCCCATCCAGAAGAGGTATTTACAATTCTAATACTTGATTTCTTGTTAACTTTAATAAATGACCATTTAGTAAAAAACGAAGGAAAATTTTGGACTACTTTAGGGCCAGAAAAGATATTATGTTTTTGTTTCTTTTAATCTGATGATGATGCCCTGGTTGCCTGATTGTGTAAATTGCGTAGCAAAGAAGTAATGAGGGAAAATGAAGAGATCTAAGAGAAAATGTTGAAACAAAATTGCATAATTTATATTAATGTCGTGTGATTATTATTACTACTGTTTTGTGCCATCGTTTTACTTTTTATTTATTTATTTATTTTTTAAATATGCGTTACAAGATTTGTTTAAGATAAAATCATTTGTTTGTCATTACTCAAAGTCAGCTTGCGAAATATGTCACGCAGGGTAGAAGAGCTTACCTCAGAATGTATTATACTAAAGAAACTTAATGATGATTTGCAAATTGATATGGCAAAGCTGGCGGAACAGAATGAAACTTTCAAGATGGTAATCATCTGTCTTACTTCTCTTTTTCTCTCTGGACTTCCTTTGTTATTCCCTTCATTGCCTATGGTATCTCAGGATACGCAAGACTGGTTACCCAAAAGCTGTGTTTCTCTACAGATTTCATAGCTATCTTCATTTACTATTTTCTTCTTTATGCAAATTGTTTGTCTCTTCACATAGTGAAGTGATAAAACAATTCGCTGCCACATTTAAGAATATGTGATTATAAGTTGTGTTATGTAAATATTGAAAGAAATATGAGTCAGTTAGGTTAGGTAGTAAGAGTTACGGATTGGGGAGTCTATAATTGTATATAAATAGGCATAGGGACAAACCCTGAGATTATTGTTGAATTTGAAACTAATCAGTGTGCTATTCAGCTATCTAATTCTCTCTTTCTCTCTGTTTCCCCAAGTTGTCTTCTACTTTCACTCTTACCTTCTACGTCAAGTTTTGTTGGTTTAACTGATTACAGTTTACTGGGAGAAAAACATGTATTGCTTAGCTATTACAACTGCATAGTAAAGTGCAAAAATTAGGACATTACATTGCATTGGACACTCATTTAAGCTTATGAAAAATTTGAAATAATGTGTGCTAATATTTGGATTGAGTTGATAGCATGCAAATAAAATTGGCATGGGTGAATCCTATTATGAAAAAATTGATAATAGGTAAGTAATAATGAGTCACATGTACTAATTAGATGAATCCCCTCATTGTAGTTTGTTTGTGGAGCCATAAAACAGTTTGAAAGATAGCATCTTAATCACTTTCTAATGTATCCTGGCCAAAGCTTGCCTGCCTGCCTTGGATTTATCTTCCGTGATTTTTTTATGCTTAATGATGTAAGCTGTGTCCGGCACTTGAGATTAGTGTAATATGCTAGCTTTAGTTATGTTTGATAGATGATGTTGAGGACTCTGCAGTACGGTCATGCAACTGGGTGTAACCTGAGTTCTGATATGTGTTTCTGTAGGCTCAAAATCTTGAGGTTACGGGTTCAAATCCCTGCAACAATTTTTTGATAAAAAAGGATTTCTATTTTTTATTAATCATTAATCTATTGTTATCTATTAATTTAATGCCTTCGTATACATGGATGTATAACTTCTTATCAATATCTGAGCTTTAAGGATCCTGGTTGCATTTTGCCAGTCTAGTATTCAAAATGTTAGTTTGTCTGAATTTAAGTGCTTAAAGAACTTGAATTGGTTTTCATTTGTGTTACTCGTTGCTTGTGCTGTTCATTAAACTAAATAGCAGTTTTTGTGATTGTCAAACCTCTAGTTAATGATAGCTTATTCTGGGGACGCTTCTTGAAGCAAAATTTAAATTACTTCTAAGTGATGTGGTTCTCTCATATTACTAATGGCACTTCGTATGCATGCATGCATGCATCTTATGAGTGTATTCAATTAGGCTCCTTTATGCCTTTTGCTTTCCTAAGTTGACTGTTCTGCAGTACCTTTAATTTATTTTCTACTAATAGCTGATATCTTTGATGAGTGTACAGGTTATTAACAAATTCTTTGAGATAAGGCAACAGTCCTTGAAAGAATTTGAGGATACAAGTTGGGATGATAAATGTGAATTTCTTTTGCATGACCCAGATGAAGTGTGGAGTTTTAACGATACTTCTACCTCCAAATACATTGTAAGATATCATAACAATAATTTATTATCAAATTATATGACCTTATGTCCTTTGTGCTAGCGATTTAGTATGGAGACTGTTGCTACATTAAGTTTTCAAGTCTTTATAATCCAAAACATATTGAGAACCTTCACCTTGAAGGGGAGCAAATGGATTGTCCAGCATGAAGATTGAGTTCTTTTAATGTAACCAAGAGGAGATGGAGGAGCATTCTTGGTCAGCCTGTTCTCGAGAATGCCTTGTGAGCCCCCTCTAGAGCAACTTTCTAGAGTACCCATTAACCTTTTGGCGGTCACCTTAGTAGAATGCCCAATAATCTTCTGGTCTGCTGGCCTCCCAGAGCAGATTTCTTAGGAGTGCCAGCTAAACAAGATATCAAGGAAAAGCTTGAGATGCGTTCTGACCCCAGGCTCATGCCCTTCCTTATGACCGGTAAATCATTGGCATGAGAAGAAGCTTTACCTCGGTTGTAAAAGTACTTCCAGACTGAGTTTGGCAATGGACACCAACCCCCCACCAGTGCAATGCTAGTTGGTCAGGATTTGACTGAAGAGGCCTTAGTGGGGAAGCCTACTTTCACAGTCACTTAGAGCAAGTTAGGTATAGCTGGGGCTCAAGCGTCTGCAGTAAGGTCCTCAGTGATTAAGATGTTTTCTTATGTCTGAAGCCCATGCCGCTTTTAACAGCTCTGTAACTAACCGTCTATTACCTGAAGTCTCTTTCGCAGCCATGGAGCAAACCACCTCTTGAGATCCACATTTGTTACTTGAGCATAGTTTCATGGCTTAACCCTCTCTGGGTCTGACAAAGACCAGCTTGTTGCTATGCATTCCGCACACTTTATGCAAAGCAAGGCTCTCTTGGCTTGTCCCATTCCATGCATTAAATTTTAACCTTTCATTTCTTTTTATTGATAGAACTTCATTAATCCATTGTGTTCGCTATGCTTTTACCAGTGCAAAGATCGCTTACTCCATGAAGATCTTTTCATTGTTCCCACTTATTTCCCCATCATATCTTTTCATTGTTCCCACTTATTTCCCCATCATCAACCATTAGTATCCATCATTGAGCTCATAGATTATAGCCACAGGGGACCACCTTCCATTGTATGTAAGACCATGCAGACATTCTCATGAAGGCAGCTCTAGCAGAAGCTGTACTGTCTGGCACTTGGTTTAATAACCTGTTGATCTTACTTGTGTTCTGCTCTTCATTTCCTTCTCATGTTTAGGTTTTTTTAAGTATTTTGTACCTCCTTCCTCATGAGGCCTCCTGTTGGCAAAAGATTCCAGTAGCGTGCATTTTTAACTTTCCATACGTTCCTTTTTTGGGTGCATATAAGTGAAAAGTTTAACCAATTATAAAGTTTAAAGTTAATGGTCTTTTTTTATCTTCTAGACAACTGTGAATAACTTTTTTCTCAGACAGAGTACATTGGAAGACGAGCTGGAAAGAGTGAGAAACTCTGTGGATAGTCTTCAAAATAAACTAAGGGTGGTAAGCATCTGGTTTATTTCGTGATGTTTTCCTTGTTAACATTTTTTTCAGTAATTTTCTAATATTTTCTCCTTTTCCGGTGTTTTAGGGCTTGGAAATTGAAAATCATTTGAAGAAGAAAATCAAAGTTCTGGAGAAGAAACAAGTGAGTCCTTTTATAATTTAAAGATTTATTTCAAATTTAATCTACTTGCCTGTTCTAATCCTGCTTATTCATGTGCAGATGTCTTTCAACATAATGATAAATAATAGCATATCGGACTTGAAATGTTATTATTCTCAGTATAGGGATCACATAAAACATTTACTTAATGATGGGGAATCGAGCATCAAATCCATAATTAGCATGATTGATGAAAGAGTCAGGAAGTTTGATCAGAGCGGCAACCTAAATTTGATCCCACAAAATGAGGCAGAAGCAGAACCAGAAGACCATGAATGCCGAGATGTGCATATTAGCCCTCAAGCTATACCTGTCTCAGAAAATGAGGTTTGAAGCTGCATGCAAATGCTGACCCCCTTTTTGCTGTTCAAATCTTTTTCTGCAGCTTGTTTACTACATGAGGATGCTGAATGTGGCACTTCATCTATTGTACTAAGTAATTAATTGCTGGAAATGTAATATAAACAAGAATATATTTATGCTGAGGACTTAAATTTTACAGAATTTTGAGGACTTAATCCAGGTGGCATAACAATTACAACACTCTTGCTTGTTAGAAGTTTTCTGATACTTTTTCAGCTGTGATCAATATGTTTATAGGATGTTTAACCTTGGATCTTGCTTAGTTTCACCATTTTTGACCCTTGTAATATGCAATCTGTAGAATTCGCATAATTCTTTCATCATCTTTTACAGAGTAATGAACCTAGTGTGCTGAACATAGAACATGGTGGAAAAGGTGGTGCCTCTGAAGCTCTATCCCAGGCATTGCAGGAAAAGGTCTTCTCATTCTCAATATGCTCTTTTTAAAAAAAAAAAAAAAAATCTGCTTGGTCTGCTCTTGCAATTAATTTACTTCTTTGCTAACAGTTTCTTTACCAATTGCAGTGCGTGTTTCATATTTTTAGTTATATCACAATTAATGTTAACCATACAATATTTTTCAGGTGGCTGCATTATTACTTTTATCACAGCAAGAGGAGAGACACTTACTGGAGAGAAATGTGCATTTAGCTCTTCAAAAGAAAGTTGAAGAACTTCAGAGGAACTTGCTGCAGGTAAATTTCTAAGGCATCCTTGCCTCAAACACCTAAGCAATGACATGCTTGTAGAATGGCGTTGGTAGAATTTAGGAACTAGGATACGGTGCAGCTGGGCAAAATTTTTGCTGAGAACAGGAAGTTAATTGCATGTTTGATTGTCATTTTCTTTATCCATCATGTTCTATTTACTTATTAAACATATCTTTGCCATACTCTCCAAGAAATATAAAACACAAATAATAATGCTGTCTCTAATTTGTGGTTTAGTGCAATCCATTTTCGAAAAACCACTTGTACATGGATCCAGGGAGTTCAGTTATTTGTTGGCAGCAAGTATACATTTTTCCTTTCTTAACCGATATATATATATATATTTTTAACCAGGTTACCAATGAAAAGGTGAAAGCTCTCATGGAACTGGCACAAATAAAGCAGGAGAATCATTTGCTTAGGGAGTATGATTACTTTTCCCTTGAATCATTTTCTCTTTCAACTTTTAAGCTGGTAGAATCTCATGTGGAGGTCTTTTTTCTTCTATTGCAATTAGAAAAAATCCTGATTTCTTCTGCTTATCCAAGGACTCAATGTATAAGACGTTCAGTGAGCAAGACTGTAGGAGAGCATTAATTTCTTTTCATGTAGTAATACTGGGGAACGATTAATTTGTTTTCTAACAATTAGATTCTTAATCATTTTGCCAGCTGCAAACTGTTTTTTGAGCTCTCGTTATTTGTTTCTATTGCTAGCTGAAGTGTTTCTCCATCCATGGTCTTACTTTGCTCTAAAGATCTAAACTAATAACCTGCAGAAAATTTGGTCCTCAGACTAAAGAGGAAAAATCTGTGGTTGATAGTGGAGAAAGAAACTTGGTTATTCATCAACAGGATGGAAGATTAAGAAACTTACTGAAGAAAACATATTTGAAACGATGGATCAATCCACTAGATGCGAGCAGAAATGAAGCTGACAGAGAAACTAACAGTGAAGGGAAATTTTTCCATCGGAGATCTAGCAGCATGGACCTTGCAAGGCATGTGCTAATTATTAGTCTTGGTGCTTTTCTTTATTGTATTATTAGATGATATTGTATGGGAAATCTATGCATATGTCATATCAATTTGACTCATTTGAAGAAGCCGCTCCTTGGCAAATGACTCTGCCTTCTCATCCTTCTAATTACTTGCATAGTTTTGCTTTCTCATTTATCTTTTATTTTCTCCCCTTAGAATGAAGATTGAAGTCGCTACTCTTAAGGAAAGCTTAGAAAGCATGGATCATCTGACTTCTTCGTTTCATAGACTTCGCCTCTCTCTTTTAAAGGTATCACATCACATGAGTAAAAGCAACAATTTTTTCCGTTAGGTAGCTGGTGGATGCTACCTCATAATGGCCTATGTGGTTATTTCATGAGCAATAACATTGATCTCATCGAATCCACCTTAACTTTTGTGAATCCTTCCTTGATGATATCTTCTTATTCATGTAGCACGAACTAAACTTACTGTTGAACTTGTCTACTACAATAGAAATTTATCCTTATTTTTTTAACTTAAATGCTGATAACTTAATATAGGTTGCTTTGATATGGTTTTCAGGCCAAAGATTCGCTGACTTCAGAAGGTACAAAATCTGGTGCTTATCAAGTCCTTGACAGTGTGATCAACGAGGCAAAACTTTTAAGGACTGCTCTTGGCAGCTCCCTACCCATCAGTTGGTCAGCCGGAGAAGATGTTGGTGTCAGCGGAGATAGTACATGCAGTGACTTGGGGTACATAAACCAGGACTGCGGTGATGAGAAGGTAGATACTGTATCGGCTGCTGGGTTTGAGATGATGGAACTTGTGATATTTGCAGCTCAAAAGTTAAAGGACGCTGCAATGCATTCTAATGTGGTTCCTGACATAGAAGCTGCATGAACACCGCTCTGTATAGATCGATGCCCTTTAAGGTGCTGCTCTGAGAAAGGGTGGATGATGTAGAATTAATAGGTAGGAGGATGAGAGTTTGGGGGAATTTGTTTCCGAAGGGAGAAAATTGAAAGCTGTGCTGGACAATCACAACGATACTGTTTCATGTTTGTACAAATTTATTTATTATGTGCGTCTTTCATTCATTCATTGTACATTCAGTGTACAGATTGGCTGATTTGAAGGAGTCAGTTACCATATTAGCTCAAAACTCCAAGGCTGATGAGTGCTTTTACCATAGTCTGTAAAATCCTCTGGTATTTTCAGATGTTATGCATCAAAAGTAATTCTGGAGTTTGATGTGGCATTTTTGCTATGCGTCTTTTCCTTCTGAGTCAATTTTTCGTTCTTGTCTAAATTTTGTCTGTGTTCTTGGTTGAAATGCACCTTCGCGGCTCTTGTCAAGCAATTGTTTTTCTTTTTCGGCCGATAGTTTGGGTTTATTTCGTGAATCAATTTGCTGAAACTAAAAATTCATGCAAACTAATTCAGTTATGAGAAACTGATGTTCATTTCCTCTTTACAGTTTGACATGCGGGTTCTTTTTTACCCTAATTTCTCTTAATCTTCTCTTTGGTGAATTTTTCTTCATCCTCTGTTGGATGAGATGGTACTCTGTATAGCTGGTCTACCTTAAAGGAGGAAGTACTATAAAAATGGAGAGCAGTCTCCTGAAAAAGAAAAGGATACAATTTTCAGTTCACAAGAACTTGCAATTCCCTGCAAAATCCACAAGGGCATCCCCCAAAAATTAGTTGAAATCCACGAGCAGGGTATCGAATATTCTTTTTCACTAACCCCACGTTATACACTTTTTTACTCTTTTGGCCATATACACACATCTCCTCTCAAACTCAAAAACACGTGGTAACTACTCTGGCCGTGCCCAGATCTGTGCCAAATCACCATATAATGCAAATCAAGCGTTTGCCTCAAAAACCATCTTGTGACGCACAATCACACAAACATCTTGGGATATTATAGTGGCCCTCCCTGTTTGAAACTCATCATTTGTGTTAGTTTCATTCAGTAATCATAATCCAACCAATAAGAGTTAGGCTTAGTAAAAAAAAGGTAATTTCCTGTAACACAGTGAACTAATGTTTTAATCTATACAAGGAGGATATCTATATTTAGTATTTATCAGTATTTCAAATAAAATTGTCTTCAATAAAAAGACAAGTGTGCCTAGAAAAAAAAACCACAGTCCAAACAAAAGCCTTCACCTTCAAAGGAGCCCTAATCTCACAAAAAGATTTTTGTCCAAGTTACTGTGTATTCCGAGGCAAAAATTGAGAGAAGGATGGACCTGAGAGAGATGAATTTCCTGGTTTCTTGCATGTTGAGCTGTAGCAATCCCAAACTCAGCATCTAAACCAATCGGGATCCTTTTCCCTCTTAAAAACTACTACCTCCGGTTCTTATTATAAGACCCCATTTGACTTTTTGTTTGGTCCTAATTATAAAACCCCAATCCATTTTGTCTCTCATATTTATGCATTTTTTCCAAGATAATCCTTCTAATAATGATAGTTCTAGCCAATACATTTAATTAGCAAGGATATTTTAGGAATGAAAACACTTATTTATTACAAATAACTAACTTAACTTACTTCCTTAATCTCCTCAAATAAGTCAACTGGGTCTTATAATTAGGACCAGAAGTAGTATTGACTGTACATAATAAACTATTCGAGAGAATAAATGTAAAGAGAATATATAGGTCCCATGTACAGTCACTCTTTCATGTCTTCCTCTCTCTCTCTCTCTCTATATATAATATAAAAGACTACATAAATGTTGAAGATTTAACTTCAACTTTGTTGAACAGCATTTTCTCTCTTAATCATTCTGTCATATATGGAGTTAATCATTTTAAAGGATTTCCTAAACAATATACATTAATTTTGAGCTAATTAAGGAATAAGGATTCTCATGACTTGATAGACTCGCCATTCCTTCCCTTGACAGACTCCTTTCTAGGTTTCTTCTTCTTTTTCTCAGAAGTCCTATATATCACTTTTATTGGCATCTCCCTTCCATTTTTATCTAACAGCTGAAGGTTCAGCTTTTCAAGCACTTTCTTTGGGTCTCGATTCTTCCCTTCCTTCTCCGAATGACTCATCGGAGTAACATCTGCAAGCTGCTGATCGATATCAGATTCAGAAACAAACTCGCGAGAAGATGAACAAGAAGCATTTTCATGCCAAGTTGGAGAAGAATTCCCCGAAACCAACGAGGTTTCTGTTTCACATAACGAGTTACAGTCATCGTTGCAACTTTGCTCTTCATCAAGAAGCTGTCCCATTCCTTCTGAACGATCCTCGTTTTCCTGTTCATCAATAATAAGCAAACTTTTTCTGAGCATATCATTGTTAGAACTCAAGAAATCATAATCAAAGCACAACTCTTTTGAGTTCTAAGAACATGAACATAGAGATTTGGAGCCCTTTAAAATCTGAAACAAGGGTGTTACTGTTTCCTATAACAGGTCAAGCCTTACTCTCACTTAACAGAACACACTCTAAAACTCCCATTTAGGGCTGGTTATTCTTGTACATAATTTGGTCTGTGATTCAATTAATATGCAGGGTCACCTTCAGATTACGCCTGGAAATATTGACCTGGTTTCATAAAGTAATAATTTGTACTAGGTTTTTTTCTGTCTTGACAAACTTAATTATCACAACCTGCGTATATGTTGCATATTTTTTCTCTTTATTATGGTAATATAGTATATAGTTTATTATTATTGCTTTCTTCTTCTTCTCTTTTTTTTTTTTGAGTACAAGGAAATACAAGAATGTAGAGAGTAAGAAAAAGAACAAAGGAGAGAGATGATCATAAAACTCTAAATCCTAAAACCCTCAAATGCAGTGCCATGTGTGAGCTATATATGCAAAAGCTCATTGACAATGGATCCAAACAGTGAAGAGGGGAAGGCAAGAGAAAGAAGGGAGAAAAGGGGAAAAAGTATTGAATCGAACAAGGCACGAGGCAGATTACAACGTTGATAGAACAGATCCATAGATGCAATAATACTCCGATTAATTAGAGTTTAAGCACCGACTTTCAAAGAAGGATTGGCGCTGCGATCTCGGGCGTCGCCGTCGAGCTGGCTGTAATTGCCTTTTTCTTTGAAAAGTTGAACGTGATGGTGCTTGCAGTATAGCTTTCCCTCGTGAGTGATGAAGTTGGCTGAGGTTATCGTACAGCCTCCATGGCTGCACTTGAAGCACCCTTTGTGATATGGAGTCCCATTCACTGTTACCTGAAAGCGATAGGTTCGAATTAGCTTCAAAAAATGAATCCGTTGTTTCATTGCTTGTCAGTGAGACGTGAGACTGAGAGGAAGCGAGGCCCCTTTTGTCTTCCATGCATGCAAAGATGTCAATAAAGGACTACAGCGTGGTAAATAAACTTGAAACTATTATAAACTAATTTGAATATGTTAAAAAAGTTAATTTAGCTAGTTATATGTAACAAATATAAGTTGATATTCGTGAAGTATTTTTTTAGTCATAATTACTCTAAGAACCCTTTTTTATGTATAATCAATAGGAATAATATAGAGAATAAATTATAAATTTAGAAAACAAAATTAATTGAATTCTTATATTTAGAATTAAATCTGATCTCTAGTTAGTTTTTATATTAAGAATAGAAGGTAGTAATTAATAACCTCACATAATGCTGACAAATGTTCAAATGTAATTAAGATTGAATTGATGATCAATCTAACAAGTACATTTTCAATATGATAATCTTATTAGTAACTGTGCTTTTTATGATCAGTGCAAGCGGGATTTTTGGCTGTTTCAAACTAAAAATGGGGAGTTGAATACATACCCTCTCGGTAGGATAAACTGTCTTCTGGCAACCTGCACATTTGTCTTTGGTACCCAAGAACACGTTTGAGAGAATCTTTGCATTCTGTTACATGTCATTACCAAATTAAAACAATTCACATGAAGGAAAGGAATTAATTCTTCGAACTTCAACACATGCATGCACTGAAATCTCCACTCACCTCGTTATCTGTTTGTTTTTCAGGTTTTTGAATCTTGGGTGTTCCTGCAATTAGTAGAGAGCATATAAATGTTTTCAGGTGGGAATATCTATTAGGGAAAACAACCCATTAGTCCAGGCCAAAAAAAAAAAAAAAAAAATTCAGAACCAGAAAGGTCCCAAGAATTCATATTCACAAGTGAAGTTTGTAGAAACATTAAATTCTCTGGGACCTTTAATAGAAGTAATCTAATTGAATTAAGATAACATAAAATGAAATGACCTTCAAAGCTCTTCTCAAGGCTACCAGTTCGTTTGTAGAGCTGATCATAATGGGGTCTGCAATATAGCACCCCTTCGAATGAACAGTAGTTGCTCAGCTGCAATATACCATCACCATCATTAATTTCAAATCCTTCTTTGCTTCAAAACCAATTGCATTTGTTTTCTTTCCATGATATCAATTTTTTTTTCCCATGAAAATACATAATTTTTCCATTTTTTAAATATTTAGTTGTTATTTACTATACCTTGAGGGTATTCCGGCAATGGTGGCATCGGAAGCAAGCCTTATGGTAAACACGGCCGTCGGCGGTTAACCGATCGACGGGGTAGGCGGTTTTGTCACAGACTGTGCACTTCTGTGTGGTTCCTACGAAACTGGCCATGGCTTCTTATCCTGACTCAGAAGCCTCGATCCTTGTTCAACTCAGAAAGAGACAGAGACAGAGAGAGATTTTGATACGATTTCTTTCTCTTCTCTTTCTCTTTCCTTCCTTTTTTCTTTTCTTCAATGGTGGAATTATGGGAACGACTCCAACAGATTAATATAAGCAGAAAAACCAGAGGACGAGAGATGAAAAAGCGAAATGAAAAATTAATGGAGGGTGGGCAGTGATTTCCGGGCGAGGGTCAAGAGATTTTACTTATTAATACATTGCTGATCGTAAGTTGTTTATGTAGCTAACCTCTATGTCTATTTTCAAGCAATCCCACCACATTCTCCTCTTTTTACAAGTTGTAAGTGATAAATAAATCATATTGCTTCGGTCGCTATTCGTCTGTACCAACAATTTTAGGTGCTTAGAATAAAAATGCATTTTTTTTTTAATTACTTCTTCAAAATCGCATCTATCTTGTGGAGGCTGGAGGCTAGCCCGATAACGCAATTCACCAAGTGGAGCTTAGTGGTGAAATTTGCATCTGGAGCAATTGCAGATATAATTTTCGAAAGTGTAAGCCTCCCATGTAGAATACAATTTGTATCTCTGCTCAGATTTTTCATTTTTCTCAGCTTTCTT